GCCCAGGCCCTTCGCGAATGGACTGGGTGATTCGCGAATTGGAAATTGTCACGGGCTACACCCGACCGTGGATCAGTCCGATGTATGTACTTATTTCATTTCGCCTCAGTTTCAGTGCAGCAACTACTAGGTCGCGTGCTCGATGCACGCTTCAAGCTTGTTTTCTCCCTTTCTTCTTTAGCTTTTAGTCAATTCTCAGCACCCGTATATCAAGAACCAGCGGCCCACGCCCACGCTCAAATCAACCCAGTAACTCTGATTTTGTCCCCGTAAACCCCGTAGGCGACAGCCCCCGTTTCTTTTCATTTTTTCATTCTGTAACCTGATCGAGTTTGGTAAATTTTAGCATGGCGAAACCGACATAACTACCTGAGAGGCTTCACGTGTCAACCCTCAACAGAGGAAATGTCACCAGCTTTGTAATAAGCATCATTCATGGCATCCTGCCCTCCTACGAAATTTCTGTTGGATCTCAACTTCCGTGAATTTTCGCGTCAGCTTCCTCAGTAAATGGGCTCTCTGCTCCATAGTAAGGTTGACTTGCTCTCCAATGGGAACAAGGCATTTAGCCAAATGGTGGTAGTCTTTGAGCAAAAGCCGAAATGTTATCATGAGAAAGTCGATGTTGTGAAAGACAAGTGCGCCCTCGTTCGCATAGGTGCGTTTCTCTTCCAGAAAAGAAATCGGGTGATTGCGCCAGTGTCTAATGGGGTTGAGATGATGGGATGTATGATAGCCGTCGTTGAAGCAGAACCGATTACTCTGTATTACATATAAGCCATTCGTCCCGACATTAGGAAGGTTTAGTGACGTACTGCCACATCAATCAGGGTTATGCTTGATCGATAGTCCGAGTCTGGGCTATCTGGGTCAACAAATGCATGTTGACCCCAATTCCCAACCATTAACCCTAATCGCACCAACAACAGGGGCAAAATAAAAACAAAAAGTGTTGCTTTAGCATTAACTAGGGTTATCATTGTGCTGTAGAAGACGTAGCTGAGGAACTCCCATCCCGCGGCTCGGGCTGCCATGTCAGGCCGCCCTTTTCGGAGAAAGTATAAAGGAAGATCAAGCCAAACAAGGAAAAAGAAACGGCCAAAGTATAGAAGGAAATGGAAAAGGTTATCGCGCTCGTATCTAATTGTGGATGACAAGTCATCTGGCCCATTACCTTCCACATGATGGTGCTTGACATGATGATAAAAGTAAGAGTTCCAGGTATGACCCATTAAAGGGTCAGTAACGTAGGGAAATAAACAATCCAAGTAAGGGTGTTGTCGAGCCAGGATCCCTCGCATATGTATGTGCTGATGCATCATCAGCGTGTAAGTTCCCATATGGTATAGTTGCATCATAATATGGAGGCAGCCTTGCAGGTACGTGAACTGCCAGTACAGAAGGAATGCGCTTGGTACAGAAGTTATCGAATATATAATTAATTGCGTGAGCATGACGACATCTGTTTCGTGACGGACAATCCGCCGAGCCCAGCAGATGTAACCTTGGAGAAAGGACATAATAAATATAGGAACAAAGCGCGTAGGCTGCCTGTTAATACTCATAAACACTGGCGATTCGAAGTTTGGATGTGCAGGGTCGTTGAATGATCTGAGCCTTGCAAGGTCTGCAGCGTTGTTACTCAAGCCTCGGCCTGGTTCGGTTTCGCCTTGAGTGCTAGTGCGTTCTCTGGCAGCTTGCCATATGTTACGCAGGCCGTTTTTAGAGCTAGAGTTTGCGATGCTAGTACAATTTTTTTTGGTTGCAGGCGTCTTCTCGGTAGAGCTAATATCGTCTGCTAGGTTTTTCAGAATAATTTTGTCGGCTAGAGTCAAGGCTCTATCATAAACAAGATACTTCTGCATACTGTAGTGTCCAGTTAGTAAAGGAGTTGTTGAACACAGGCTTTAATCGAAATTTTAATGGTAATGACTGGAAGACACTGCGGTTTCGCCGCAGGTATGTGCTTGATAAAGGTAATTATTGGGCTAGAAACAAGGAGACGCCACTTGCTACTTGCTTCAATAGACGCAATTTTGCTCATTGAAAATTGTACACACTTTCAGCATTGATGAGACAGGTTCTTGCACTAGTCAGATTACGTATGGTTTCGAGCCTGAGTCTAGTTTGATGATGAGAACAATGGTAGGAGGGGGGAAATACTCTGGGCCTCCTCCGCTTCCATGGACCACCCACTTTTCGTAGCAACGGTGTTGCTGCTGCGTGGGGACGAAATCAGCACTGTATGACCTCATTGGCCTCGTCATGCAACCCTTTCAGCCTGCCACAAGTTCTCCGCAGTCGTACTCTGTCCCCACAAGGTTTACTCTACTGCTGTGCAGCTGCCATCCAGCATCGCGGACTGGATTTAACCGTATAAGTTTTCGATGAAAGCCACTGGACTTGCTCCAACTGTATCCAAATAGTGGCCAAATGCTTGGAAGCGATATGTCTGGGAATAGTGGAGCTTAGTCGGTCACCAAGACATATGTGGACACGAGGAGTTTGACCTATTCTTTTTCAACCTTGCAAAGCTTACTATGAATATGGCAAAGAGTTTGAAGTCAAACCGATGAAAAGTTTCTTGGTACGCTAAGGGAGAATAGGATGTCTCATTGTTCGCTCCATGGTGGTTTAGTGATATGGCATTTGACGGCATAAAGTGTATTAGGCAGCGAAATACAAACTAAAATGGCGACATGTGTTACCAGCAAATCGCAGCCACCACATAATATCATTGACTCAGCTTCCCTCAGGCAGCTGTTGCATTCCCAGAGATATGCTCCCAAATGTTGCCTTGTAAGCCTTCAGTACACATATGCCACTTGGTAGCCACCGTAACTACTGACGATGCGATGTACCATGGGGTAACCTTTCAACACTAGCAAGGTATGATGTGAAGTAGATGACGAGGGAATCTAGAGATCCTGTGCGGAAAAGCTGGACAGCATGCTCCCATTGTGCGGCTGCCATGAGGCTAGGGTTGGCGACGATCTCAACGCTCACTGATCCCAATGAGTCGTTCAGTTCGTCGAGACGTCGTTGTTTTCGATCAGCCATAGCTCTGTAGAACCCTTCGATTGTGGTTGCATTGGATGATATTTCCAAAAGGTCGTGATGAAATGCCCGGGCGTCCTGAATTGAAGATGGGAACGTGTTGTACTGCTCGTGCAGCTGTTTGAATTCATCGTCCATCTTTAAATCGAATTTCCAGGCGGGCCATATCCAATCGAAGTCTTCCATATTGCAACACGCCTAAAGCATAGACGCAAAGACGATCCAGATTCTGTTGCAGGCTAGATTGGGCGAGACTGATAGCTTTTGAGCGCTTTCAACTGATGTGTTAGAAATAAAAATGTCTAGGCCTAGTGAAGGCTTTCTCTCCGGAAATACTAGCGGTCGCAGTTTCGCTTGGAGGAGCGTATTCAGGATGGCGGCTTGACGTACGAAGATGATGCAGAAAGATGGTAAGCACTAGTTGGTGGCCTATGGTGGGATTTGAGACTGGAGCGGCGCCCTCTCCGGCTCAACACCTTTCGGAAGTTCTGCGGGAAAGGTCGTTACTGTATAAATTAGTAATTACAAGGCTCGATGAGAGGCGAGAGCAGGTGCCTCCCACCTTTTTTTTTCTTGAACGGGAGACACCACCTTCTAGAGGACGGCTACTACTGTCACATTTAAGAAAAGTTGGCATGCGGGTGACTGGTCAGGACATCGATGGTTTTGGAACTATCCAACGCAGGTCACTTGCCTAAATTCAATTGCTGGTGTAGTGGCGGAGCTTGTCTGGCAGGCCTGTCACTTCTCTTTTGCAGCATTGTAGCATACGCGCGGCAACAAATCAAGTTGCGCACCCAGGTGGCGTTGCATGGCATGGGTAGTGCGCGGCCGATAAGAGAAGGTGGCAAAGGGAAATTAAACCAATGTGAACGAGGGGCATGACCATCTACCTGTTTTTGCGTAAGGAAAACGTCAAACCCTAGTTGCCATCATTTTTTCAGGCCGTCGAGCTCTGGGGCTAATCTGACCCGTCATTCATCCATACATACTGTCCAACCTTATTGACATACTAATTTCGAATAACCAGTTTAGATTTTCGTCAACCGTGTCAACTTCGATTCTCGCATCATTAAGTCGAGCGGAGATGCACGACTCCCACAAAGGCCAGAGAGAGTCCAGCGACCAGGATCAGCAACGCATCGAGCGCCTCTACGGAACACTACCTGGCAAAGCACACCGACTTCACCAACAGTTACAGGTCAGTCGTGCTGGGCGTATTTTTCGTCATGCACACCATACTTGGGCATTGTTGATCTCCCTCTACCCACTCTACCCGGGTAGGGTAGAGGAGGTATTTCCTCTACTCTACTTGGGTAGAGTAGAGTAGAAATGGGTAGGGCTCCCCATTCTACCCACTCCTGCGTAATTTACATTGTGGTGACCACTTTCGTGAGGTCAGATACGCCTGAACGTGGTGCCTCTAACGATTAGTATCGGGCTCAAACCCTTGCATGCCGCCCCCAGAGCTGCGAGCCCCAACGACAAAGTGGGTACCGAGGCCGATTCGGGACTAGCCGGTACGTACCTTACTCTACCCCACCACTCTACCCACTCTACCCGGGTAGGGTAGAGGAGGTATTTCCTCTACTCTACTTGGGTAGAGTAGAGTAGAAATGGGTAGGGCTCCCCATTCTACCCACTCCTGCGTAATTTACATTGTGGTGACCACTTTCGTGAGGTCAGATGCGCCTGAACGTGGTGCCTCTAACGATTAGTATCGGGCTCAAACCCTTGCATGCCGCCCCCAGAGCTGCGAGCCCCAACGACAGAATGGGTACCGAGGCCGATTCGGGATTAGCCGGTACGTACCTTACTCTACCCCCCCACTCTACCCACTCTACCCGGGTAGGGTAGAGGAGGCCATTACTCTACATGGGTAGGGTAGAGCGGTGGTCAATTCTCCTCTACTCTACAATGCCCAAGTATGATGCACACTGTCACCGCTTGACTCTAAAGCTAATATTTACCCGTGATTGACTCAGGGAAGAACGTACTTCGATTCGGGCGATTTTGCTCTTTCTAAAGCGCACAAAGCATCCAATATCGGAATGGTTCAAACAGGGACAGAGCATCCACATCGAAGTACCATATCTCACCCATCAGCAGCAGCGCCAGCATCTAGCAATGTCAAAAGCAGAAGTGACGGACAATACCGAGCTACTGAAGGGTCTACTACCGTATCATCAGCTAGCCATCTGCAACAAGTCATACCCAAGAAGGAAAGCGACGAAGAAGGTAAGAAATCAAAGGGAAACGTATGCAGCGTGGGACGGTAACTATTCTAGTTTATCAGTACTTATAATTGCCAGGCCAACTAGGCCGCCCTCTTTATAGTGATATATCTCAATAGGATCTATGTGTTTATGGTGTATTGCTGCGTTGCCGACAACAGAATGCAAGCAAACTAGGACTGCCTAGGGGCCTTGTGAGCGTAGGCGTGGTAAGACAGACAAATAGATTCGAAATAGTTTACTGCGACCCATAGAATGCTAGCGGCAATCATATATCACATCATTGGGCAGATAATTTTGGGATATTCGGGTGGTGTGTTGTCCCATTTCCTTGTCCTCACGCGAAATCTACCAAGTTGCTAAGCGTGACCTCCCAAGACCTTTTCAAGGCAGCGAGGCGCTACTACCATGTTGCCCCGTCCGGATTGTGAGGGAGGACCTTTCTGAGATCTCAAATTGAGGTCTCTGTTGTTTTGTAGATAGTTCCATCGATTTATTTGCTGCTTGGGGGCGGGAGGCCTGACGCCCATCGATATGGCGGACCCGCCTGAAGGTCCAATTGTGGTGGAGACGGACAGCCCCGCGCCACCGAGACGAACGACGCGTCCAACGAAGCCCAGCGAGAGAATCCAGGACACGCTCCATAACACACGCCCGAAATGCTCTCCCAACAGTCATCTCAATCAATTCCAATCAGCTACAGCTTACGCTCCTCTTTATTCTACGTCATAGCGCATCAAGTCCTATAGAGACAAGGACAAGTCCGGTCTCTCAATAAGTCTGCAGCATACATTCATACATTCATTTCCATCGGATTGGCAAGACCAAATCAATACGATGATCTCCGCATTGATAGCCCGTGGCATGGGTCCTGTCTTAAATACAGCAGAAGACGAGATGTGCCCAAGCTCGACTAATGCCGACGATTCAAATCTACAGTCTTTTCAGTACTCCACAACCTCTGATCAACTGTGGTTAGCGCGGCTTCCCTGTTTTGTCCCCGTGATCCAACGGCAGGAGCTATTCATAGAGAAAGTCAGCAGTGTAACGTCATATATGATTTCGAGAGCGCCAGCGATCTTTCTTCGTAGCTATAAAATTTCCATAGCCGATAAAGTGTCCAGGGTAGCTCTCCCTGGCTGCAACAACCTGGGTACCTCTCATGGCACGCAAATATGCCCGGTGTCTAGGTATCTTGCCACGAGCCCGCATAGCCCATTGGCGGGGCGTCCGCGTCATCATTGCCAATTTCGGGATCTGGGCGAGAGGATGCTTCAGCCTCTCCAACTAGTCAACGTAACCTCAACCCAACTCAAGGCAGCAAGTATTTCGAAATTATTAAATAGCCCAGGTTTCCGCTGTGTAAAATGGTCCACCGGCCCGTCTCTGTTGATGTCCCACGCCGCCGAGGAATGGAAGTTCACGGCTTTTTCCCATTGTCGCACCTACTACGAGCAGCACGGAGATCAGACGGCTAGCAGTCTCCACCCCAGAGGCCCTAATTCAAGATATCTTGTGTTATGCATCTAGCAGAGCTCTACCATACTTTTCTTTTGGCTTGGTGAAGCTGGGGCAAGTCATGATCCTGTCTCGGAGCTCAAGCAGGGTTATCCTATATCTCGGGTTAGGGTTGAAGATCCACCTCAAGACATTGTTAAGATCATCAGACAATGGGAGGATCGACGTAAGGAGGTTGTGATTTGCGGTGTATGCCCGATAGTTCAAGTCTTCAACAGATGCCTGTCCCCATGGGCTGAGTCCGCACGTCAGGTTGACCAGGATTATTCCCAAGCTCCAGATGTCGCTGGGCCCGCACATATGATGGTGTAGCTCCCTTGTTCCAGAATCCAGACACTCTGCTAACGTAATATGAGTCAGTAAGAGGCAAGCTAATGTAGTGTAAAGAAAGAGCTTTAGAGCACGCACCAGGGCTCATGTAGGCCATAGACCCACGGGTACTGTTTTCAGATGTTGCATTAGTTGTGGCAAAGCCAAAGTCTGCCAATTTGACTGTTTGTCCGTGGTTGAAAACTAGGATATTTTCCGGCTTAAGGTCCTGATGGTAGATGTTGCATTTATGACAGTATTCCAGAGCATCAATGATTTGAAGGAAAATATTTTTAGACAGCGTATCGTTGCCAACGTACAGGCCGCGTTGTGTTATATTTAGGAATAGATCTCCCTCTTCACAATATTCAATGACAACATAAATGCCCTCAGGTCTGTCTAGAAACTTGTGTATATCCACAACGTTGGGATGTGCGGAGGCTTGGTGGTGAAGTTGAATCTCTTGGTGATAGTTTAAGAGCTGCGAAGCATCTAGACGAGACCCATCGGCATGGAATTTATTGAGACACTTGACAGCATGGCGCGTACCAGTATTGACATCGGTAGCCAAGTACACCACGCCGTAGGAGCCGGTCCCTAATATACTTTTCAATTGAAGGGAACCTGCGAGCATTTGTCCTAGTCTCTCCATGAAACCAAATCGAGTCAAGGAATAGGGAGTTGTATACAGACACCGATAATAATTAAAAATAAAGCAAAAAGTCAGAGGAAAGACAAGCTAGTAATATGTAAGTCGGGTACAGCAGGGCATGCGACGTCGGGACGTCATCTGCGCTTTGCGCGTAACACCCATCGACAATTTGGTGCACATCGATAAGAGAATCTGTGGCAGCCACTAGCAGGTATGACTGAGGCCCCTATTGAAATTTCGATGTCACCCTTTGCTATGGAAAAAAAACGAGCGTAGTACGTACTGAAGACCTCCTTCTCCCGCCACCAAAAAGAGTCAAGCATCAAGTGGTTGAAAAGATCATGGTGCCGTCATAGCAGCTGCGTGTGCATTGTACGATGGCACAACGAGCATGTGCACTGATTGGATCAGCCAATGAGGGTTGAGAGGCGCAAGTTCCGGCCGATCTTCACACTGGCTCTTGTTGCCATAAAATGTGAATCCATTTGTGAAGCGCAGCAAAGATCCGTTGACACTTGACAGATGCCTGCCTAACATAGCCCATGCTAGTGTGATATGGGCGCTGTACGCATGACCACACCTATTTGGACCATCATGCGACCCTTTCAGCAACGCAAGACAAAGACTGTAAGGAGCAAGCACGAGAAGTGGCGAAAGTGGATGCCGTGAGGAACAAGATTCATGTCCCTTTACTCAGCGGAGAAGAGCGGTGTAACGTTGACAACTGCCTCATACAGGTATGTACATACCAGGAGTCGAACCTACTGGTAGGTACCAGCACTGAGACACCGGACCACATGCAGTCAGCACGGCGCCGCATCCCAACTGTATTTCCGGCCCTTCAGTGGCCCAATGCCCGCCGGCCACTCCAGCACTCACCAACATTTGCACCTGCTTCCATTAATTTTATCAATTGATGATCAGCCCGGCTTGCCTTGACTGACTTCGGCCATTCGTCGCCATGATAATCTGCCTATCCTGCCTACCTCACTGTATTAATGGATACTGAACTACCTACGCTTGGTGATGTCCTTGTGAACGCTGCCTCGCCACCATGGACTTTGCATGCCTTCACGGCTCATCTCAACCGGCACTGCTGTCTCGAGGCTCTTCTGTTCGTTCTCGACACCCAGCATTATGCCGCGTGCTACGAAGGCCTTGTCAGATCCAACTCTGCGTCATCCAGCAATAGTAACTCGGTCGCTAAGCTATGGCGAAATCTAATAACGCTCTACATCCTTCCCACTGGCCAGCGACAACTCAACATGCCTGAACAGGAGCGAGAGCATCTACTGCATCTCCCACCTGAACCTCCACCCAATCCATCTGAGCTTCACGAAGCTTGTCGATGCGCATATGATCTCCTGAATGACTCATTAACCGCGTTTTTCCGGACGTCGGAGCCGATGCAAGACACAGAGGACACTCAGTCGCCACCCGACCGACAACCACAATCGCAGGCTGCAGCGACAGGCGAGGATCAAGATGGGTGGCTTCGTCATCTGTTTGGAACAAATGCTAAGCGTTGTAAGCAGTTGGTTCTTACCTTGGGTTGTACGCACGCGAAATGATGTGCTACCAGACTCTCTGGGACCTACACGAACCCAAGACTCGGAACACGGGTTGTGAGATTTATCGGCTACAAGCACTATGATGAAACAGTTAGGTACATGTTCCATGACATCTGTCTGTATCACCCAACACAACATGGGGCGGCTGGTATGCTGCCATCAACGGTCATAAATGTTCTGGTTAAACCGCGCCTTGCCGTTTGCCTCTCCTCTGCACGAGCGTCTATTCAATCATGTCATGACGTTAACAAGATATGAACGAAACTATTATTTCGTCCTCATCAAACTGGATTTTCGCCACTAGATCCCAGAGGCTTTCTTATGCCTTGCTAGTAGTAGCCGATGGCCGCCATCATTCTCGAAGGCAATGACTCCTCTGTTCTGGTGAATGGCAGCTCTGCAGGGAGACCGGCAGTTGGTGTCTGGTACCTCCAGATGTCTGCTTGCCGCTTCTTGGTACCGTCAAGCATTGTGGCAGGTATGTCTTGTCCCCGATATTCACCAGATTTGTCGATGGATAGCCAGTCACGCGACCTGTAGTTAATAGGCCCACAGAAATGGAAAATAAAAGAGGTGGGCGGGAGTTTTATCCAGCATGACGCACGCCTTGGAACGCTTCTCTCTGACTACCACTTCAATCAATTTGTCTTGGCCAAAGCATTCTATATCTTAGCACATCGGTCGCATAAAGACAAGGACCATTCCCGTCTCTCCCAAGATTAATTCTTTAGTATAAATTCAAATTCGTGGGATCACGAGACCAAATTATTATCATGCTTAGTGCATTGGTAGCTCGTGCCATTGTCCCTTTTCCAACCACAACCAAAGCCAACGTGTGCCCGAGCGCATCTGATGCCGACGAGTTAAATTTACAGCCTTTTCAATACGCCAAACAACTCGAGTTGGCAAGGCTTCCTTGTTTTAGCGATGTCTCTGTAACACGACAGCAAGAACTATTCTTGGGGAAAGTCGAGCAGTGTAATGTCATATTTGATTTTGAGAGCGCCAGCGATCTATCTTCAAAATACATCAAGACCCTTGCGCTCCAAGAACTACACGACTATGTCAAGAACAATGGGTTCTTGATCGAAGAGCCCATGTGGCAGGTGGTAACGGAGATGTTTGCCAAGAATGTCTTCCGACCCGTGTTGCAATACGAGAATAGCCAACTAGAGGTGTTTGACTTTGAAGATGAGGAGGACGACCTTGTTTTGGAAGTTGCCTGGGCTCACGTCGAGCCTGTTTATGAGCTCTTCGATGTCGTCATGCAGAACAAATTCTTCTTGACCACAAGCATGGCCGAATCCTACATCGATGGTAAATTCGTGCTGTGCCTTCTAGCCCGATTGAGATGTCAAGATCCTCGAGAGCGAGGGCTCCTCAAGACAACACTACACAGCATATACCGCGAATTCCGTAACCACCGCACCTTCATCCGTCAGTCTATCAACGGCGTTCTGCTCCAGTTTGCTTATGAACCAGATACACCATTTGGCATAGCCGAGCTCCTTGAAGTTCTCGGCTCCATCTTCAGTGGTCTATGCAGTCCTTTGAAAGACGAATACAAAGACACCATGATGCGGGTCTTGATCCCTCTGCACAAGTCCCCCGCTTTGGGCAGATACCATATTTGGCTCGCATACTGCATTACCCAGTTACTGGGAAAGGATCACTCTCTTATACAAGCGGTATGTCAACTACCATCTCAGATATTTTTACAGTAGTTGTGCTAATAAAGAACCAGGTGGTGCTTAAGATATTGCGATACTGGCCAAAAGTGAATAGTACAAAAGAGAAAATATTTCTCGATGAGATGGAGGAAATACTAGAGCTTGTTGATGATGAGGGATTTTCTCAGATACAGGATAAAGTTTTCCATCAACTGGCCAAGTCTATAGCTAGCTCACACTCGCTAGTTGCAACCCGTGCATTGCATTTTTGGAGCGACGAAAGATTCTGCAGCCGTGTAAGGGCCAATATTACTACTATTCTTCCAATCATGTTCCCGTCCGTTTACGAGAGCTTCAATTGTCACTGGAATAAGTACAACTCTCTCTGCATATCTAGTTAGTCCATTACTGATTCCCGATACAGGCCTCTACGGAGCAAGATTAATGACCTGATGGAGTTCTTTATAAGAACAAGTCCGCAGCTGTTTGACGACTGCTGGTATAGCTACGCAGAAAAATGCGGTAAAGTAATAGCCCAGGAGGCTAAGCGGGAAAAGAGGTGGGAGATATTGCGTCAGATGGCAGAAGGGTCCAAAACTTAGCGTTGTTGAAGCGATCCGTGAGCTCTTCATGTTCTTGTCGGATAAAACTGCTTCTGTTGATAGAACAAGCTAGTTAACAATGAGTCTCATGACGTAACAGTTCTATTTTCTCCTTCTCTTCGATGCTTTATACGCTTTGGAGAGACAAGAATGACCTATATCAAAGTACGTTCTTTCCTGTATCAAAAATAAGTTCAAACATTGTAAAGTAGGATTCTTGTCACGTTACGAGTCATAGGTGTATCTTGTTTTGTGGTGCACAAGTCCTCCATCTAGCCTGACAGTGTCATCTACTCCAGTTGGCAAAAGTCTCCAAGCCTTCCAAACTTGTTATATCTATGATTGTATGACTTGTAGAAATTATGTCAAGTCTGCTTGTTCAATCAAGAGAGGTATCCGGCAGTTCCATAGAGGCGCTCGATGCGCTGCTGGTCCTGAACTTGCTTGGTCTTTGTCGGAGTCCTGCATCTGGCCCGGCTTACTAGTGCGAGATTTGGGATGGCTATTCGAAATGGGAAGACGCTGGTATTGAAAGGAGGTGCACAATTATGTGCGTGCATGGTAGTACATATCAGGCCACACAATCGATGAGGTGGATGAAAGAAGACCCGCACACTATGGGGACCTCAGGTAGATGGACATGCCCCGCCGCCCGCACCAATAAATTTCCCTCTGGAACTCAATGTTCTCATTGCCAGCTTGAGCATCGCCTGCCTAAAGGGGTAAGCGTCAACAGTATTTCATATCTGGTTTCCTAAAATTATTTGAGGTGCCCAGATAGCTATATCGTTTAACTTGGTTGTCTTGGAGGATGCCCAATTGCCTATCGACATACAGAGGACTAGAACAGCCTGTCCGCAAACTGAAATTTAGTTCCTGATGATACCGCAAGGAACCCCTAATGTATTGTAGCTTTGGATATGGACAAGTCTATAAAAAGTACATAGCATGTTAGGAAGCGGTGCCTGGCGCCGTTTCTGGAACTTGGGGCAACCAGCACTTTCTCATCTTCTCTCCGCTCCCCGCTGGCTACAAGAATCTCTCTTGTCCTCCGAACACAAATATGTTTCGAGGACACGTTGGGCTTTGCCGCTACTTTACCACCAGCACACTACCTCTCCGCACATTCGCCATGTCCAAAGTTTTCGTTGGGTTGGTTTCCAATTCAATAGGCCTCTCTGCATATGCTGATTTTGCAATAGGAGCCTTCCTTGTCATATCGACTCGGACTCTCTGAGGCAAGAGTTCCAGAAATTCGGAACCGTCACCGACGCGGCAGGTTTCCCCCCCGTCTTGGATAGCAGCATTCGGTTTAGACGTCGACTAATCCCCCTTAAATACAGGTCGTCATCATAGGCCGGGAAACTGGCCGCAGCCGCGGGTTTGGCTTCGTCACTTTTGCGGATGAAGAGGGATCAACCAAGGCAATTTCGGAGGGCAATGGAATGGAGTACGCGTAAATTTTGGAATTTCTCAATTGCCATGGCGCGTGACTAACATTGCCAGGATAAATGGCCGGCGTCTTTCAGTCGTCCAGGTAAGTCATTTGCATGAGCTCCGGATGATGAATGTGTCGCGGAGAGCATTACTAACGAGAATTTAGAGTGCTGAGCGTCCGAGAAACGACTACGGTCGACGAGGTGGGGGAAATGACTTTGGTCGACGAGATGAGAGGAACGACCGTGGATACGGTGGAGGCGGACGATCTGGAGGGTACTACTAGAGTTGGGCGCTTCAGTCGCCAATGACTCCGTTCGTTGCCAGGAGCACTCCCCTAGTAGCAACTTTAAGAATCCCGAGTAGCGATTTTGGGGCACCATATTGCTTCCCAATAACCTTTACAGAAGCTAAGGCTGTCGGACCGCGAAAGGGGACACAAATCATCTTATGGATATCATTTGTACGAGGACTTCCAGGGTGGAGTGTGAGATGGCCACTCGTTTATACCTTTTATGTCACATTCAAGATATGCAAGGTGATGGTTTTGAATTGTAAGACTCTTTTCTTGCTATGAGATGAAGAGGGGAGTTGTACAATACTTCAGCAATACATCTCCAGTGTGGAATAGCGTATGACGCAGGGCAGCTCCAGCCAGAATCAGTCTCTCTTCAGACAACTAGACTTATTGGGGTTTATTTTCGACACACCATCCCAATCTTGTCCTTCCTGTTTGTGGTCATCAGATTTGTCCATACCAGTGCCCTCATTGACAGCTGGCTGAATGACGTCGTTGGTGGATGGTTGGCTGTAAAAATTTCGTAAGTATAGCAGACATATGCCTGAAGGAGAGTATGCTTACAGTGTCTTTAAATGAAATGCTGTATCTTCAGCATGGCCGTTGTTAATAGCAAGATTGAAATCGTCCTGGCTGGTCCCAATGTAATCCTCGTCTATTTCCTCGGAGGTCTCCATAGTGACGTGAGGAAGGGATTGTGTCCAAAGTTGTCTCTGCCGTTAGCCGCTGTAGACGGTGGGATTGAAAGAATGATAAAGATGGTTGAAATGAAGTCCGGTGACCCCATATATATGCTTTTTTAAAAAAATTCCACTCGGCGATATGGGGAACACTGTGGCGCAGCGGAGAGTCGTGCATAGAAGAACAATCGCAGCGCCTGGGGTTGGTTGCTGGAATGGTTGCATGACGCGGCTCATGAGGTCACGTACCCAGTACCGATATATGGTTCTGAACAATTTGCAATGTGAGGTATCAGGCATGTCCCGCTCTGCTTTCTACGCTGTGGCCAAGTTTCCCCTGCGCTTTATAAGTGGATTTGGGAACCTGTGGTATTCTTCCACCTTGGCTGTTGCCTAAAATATATGTTCCGGGCCAGTCACGAATATATCCAATTCGCGAATCGCCCAGTCCATTCGCGAAGGGCCCGGGCCAACCACGAATATCCACATCCGCGACTGGCCCGGAACATATATTTCTGCATGCCGTTACGACAAGATGAACCCTCTTCGCAATTCCACAATGTGGCAACAGGAGAGCCTTGTGTGTGAGAAAAGACCTGGCCCTTGAAGCAATACATGAAAGACAATTAGTGAGCTATCTGGACAACGCTCTCTGTCTCAGCACTGGCTTATGATTAAGCCATGAGGTGCAGGTAGATCTCCTAGTAGGGATGGATTTTGAAGTTTGACAAAATGCACTTTCACTGGTTATCCTACATTTCTGATCTAATTTACATTTTACCCAGACCCTTATGTCTGTTGAAGTTATTGTAGTCATGAACTCTTGCCAAGTGAGCCTGGAAGGTTTGGAGCTCATGGAATGTAGCCTTCTTGTCACGGCATCTTGGCTCAGGGCATATCACCGCCCGTTCACCAAGTCCTTTGAGGTGTCGAGATATCATGTGGTCCCTTGCTCGATAAGTAGAGCAAAACTTGTTAAGCCTTTGGTTTATAGGCGCATACTCATCCCAGAAGCAAAAAAACACATTGGTTTGTATCGCAGCTTTGAGGAAACTCATCCGTTCCTGCTTTCATCTCAGACTTCACACGCCGGATTTCACGCTCTTTCCCAAGAAGTATCATTGCATTTGTAGTGTAAATGCGATGTTTTAGCTTCGTTTCATCGTTTAAATCGCATGTATCGGCGCATATAAGCTCCGCTAGCAGTCGGCGCTCTTTCAGATTGTAAGAAACTTGGGGATTCCATGCGTCGGGACCAAGATCAAGGAATGAACCAGCATCGTCCTTCAATTGGGTATTTATTTCTATCGTGCTTAACCAGCATCGTCCTTCAATTGGGAATTTATTTCTATGCTGTCGTCCTTCAATTGGGTATTTATTTCTATCGTGCTTATATTGTTGAAAAATTCTTGTCGCGTTGTTGCCTTAGCCAGCTTTCGGAGATATGCTCTAGTTGATCGCACCTTGTTTTCCACCGCACGATACATCTGATAAAGCTTGGTCCCGCTCACTTCTGCTTCTCTTATACTCCCAGACTCGCGACGAACTTCTTGGCTCAAGCTATCCCGAAGTTCGATAACTTTGACTAGCGTGGGGTCGGTTCTGATGTGCTCAAGGTCAAGATGAGTAGCATTGGTCGGGGCTCGTGGATCGACGTGGCGGCTCATATGGCCAACAGCTTTCTGTAAGGGAACGGCCCCACTTTAGGACATAGCTAGCTCGAGTCAGAGCTTCCTTCGGAAGCTCTTACTCTCCTTGTGAACAATCGCATTATCCAAGTCGCACTTGACCTTGCTCGTGCCCTTGTACCGTTACATATTGTTCGCCTGCACCTCATTGCAACGGCTGCATAAAGTCAACTAGTGAAATAGAAAACAATGACAACATCTTAACTTCAACGCCTTCTCCGGAGCCGCGCCGGATGCAGTATGGATTTAAAATTTGCACAAAACCTGTTACAGGACCCAGCCTCTGGAGGTAGTAAAGGTAGGTGTGATAACGAAGCGCCTCGGTGTCGGAAGTTCGGACCGTTCCATCGCTAGTTCATACGGCCTGCCTAAAGATTGGTTTGTCTCTAATGTCCTTGCGCTAGTCAAACTCGAGTGAGCGACGCGGTGGGCGAGCTTTTATTTTGTAAATATCTTGGACTGTCTGAATGTTTGCCTCAAATACTTGATCGAGGAGAGCAAGAGCCAACAGATGAAGGATGGCATCAAACAAAAGATCATCAACCTCGTAGAAGATGAAGGTTTTCCTGCGTAGTCGCAGTTAGAGACTGATAGTAAGATGATATTATTAATATTTAGTACTCACGGATTCTCTCTTCTCTCCCAACCTTTGGTGAAGCGAAGTGTTACTTCCATGCACGCCGATCGATCGAGTACCTCCTGTCGCGTTACGCGGTTGCACTTCTTGTATATTCCTGAATCTGTCTTTTTTCCTACACAGCGGAATTACGGTTGCTCCAACTATCGGTGGAGTCCTGGAAGCTGGAAGCTCCTTTCCCGTCGGGGCCGCGAATCGCCAGAATATCCCTTCCTCCTTCTGCCGATTTGAGAAGTACCAACTTGACATCGCCGTATGTAATTGTTTTAAAGTCGTCTTCTTTGGGGTCCCATTTGCCTGCATGTTCCTCCGATTCCATGTCTTCGTCTTCATTACCGAAATAGTGATCATTAATAGCTTTCTGGCTCAGCTTCTTGTACGCCAAGACCCGTGGACGTGTTGCAGTGTATGCCTGCAAAAGGATCAGGAGCGCCAGCTGTATTCGTTGGCGCTCATCCGGAAAGACCGATGTATCATGAACCCAATGATGATGCTGCACTAAGTAAACATCATCGACATCCATCACAGGCTTCTCATTGACCGAAGTGTCAAGCTTGTAACGAATTGTGAGATATCCATTAACATACTACCACATGTAAGTAGACGTCCAGCTCTTGATGAGATGTCCATTAACATACTACCCCACATGTAAGTAGACATATCACAACGATGTCTAGCTCTTGAGGTGGCGGTGTTCTTACATCATTA